AAATAGACCATACACTCAGACTCAATATGAGTCAAGACTGCAATATGGCGGCCAAGAATAGCTAATGAAATCTTAGGCTACATTAAGAGAGACCTAACATCCTCTGTCGTCATCTGTCCTAGTTCAACCACATATAGAATGGTGTGTTCAATTGTGGGCACCACATTTTAAGAAGTAATTGACCAGCTGGAGTGCCTCCAGAGGAAGGCAACCAGGATGGTGAGGGGAATGGAGATCTGGCCATTTGAAGATTACAACATATCAGCAAGGACGGGCAGGTTTAGCTAAGAGAAGAGACGGTTCAATAGGGACATAATTGCCATCTTTAAGTATTGGAAGGGCTGTCCCATGGAAGAAGGATTCAGCTTGTTCTGCTCGGTCCTGGTAGAGCAGAAATAATGCAGTGGGTAGAAATCATGGAAAAGCAGACTTTGGCTTCATGTACAGAAAAACCTCCTACCACTTAGAGCTGTCTCAAAGCAAAAGGGATGTGGTGAGTTCCCTACCACTGGAGGTCTTCAAGAAAACTTTGGGGATATTACAGAAGGGGATTCCTGACCAGGTATGGGCTGCTCCTTTCTAACACTTAGATCCTATAGTTCTATGAACCTACTAGAGCTTGAGAGGTCTGCTGGCAGAGGCTTAGAGAACCCAGGGTATCCTCCATCAGAGACATTCCAGAAGATCATTGGTGGAAATGGATGAGTATGTGTGAGGATGCAATGTATATGTAGATGTGCATGTAGTGATTGGAGGGGCAAGTGTGGCTGGGTTGAACAGATGGACGGATTAGAAAAGAGCAAATGCACCCAACAGGTGTACCCTGGAAAAATGCCAGTCATGGATTTCTTACTGATGGCATGCAATTATTCTTATCAATGAATATTGTCTTTAATGCTTCATATATATGTCTTATCTTCTACCTGGACGGTAAGCTGCTTGAGGGCAGAACCTGTCATGCACTTTTCTATATGCCCCTGTGATGCCTAGAACATAGTAGCGTCTCCCTAAGTAAAAGCTTAGAATTCCATATCTGGAAGGAACCTTAGAACATAGAATGTCAGAGCTAGGAGAACCCTAAGAAGAGAGAATGGCTGAGCCTTGAGAGAGTTGAGAACATAGAATGGCAGAGCTGGAGGGAACTTTAGAGTACAGAATATCAGAGCTAGACAAGCCATGAGAACATAACATACTATCCCTGGATAAAGGGTTAGAGCAGGAATTCCTAACTACATTTTTTGTATCATGGACCCTTTTGTCAGTCTGGAGAAGCCTAGGGACCCTTTCTCAGGATAATGATTTCTTGATTACATTTACAATTCAACGAAATGCTTGTTTTGGTTCAAGGATTAGTGAAAGTAAAGATGTAATTTTTTTCCCATTCAATTTCACAGATCCGTGAAATCTATCCATGGTTCCCTTTGGGAGATGAGGGACCATGAATCCCAGGTTAAAAAATCCGGGGTTAGAAGTAATCAAGTCCAACTTGTCATTTTACAGATGAGAAAAAAGAGGCTCAAATAGGGGAAATAAGCTGGCCAATGCCTCATCACTAATTAGCGCCAATGCTGGATCTGGTGTTCAGATTTCTTGACTGTCATTCAGTGCTCTTTCTAGATTGGGCAACCCCCATCACAGAACAGAGAGGAAGAAGCAGGCAGTAGGCCATGAGCAAGGAGTGTGGGGTAAACCATAGCGGGCTAGAGAGCAGAGGGACAAGGTATATCACCTAGAGAGACAGAACACAACCTGGCCCACAGAGCCTCCTTCAAGAAAATTGGAAACGCCTTTGGCTACTAAGGTACTAAAAATTAATGGGCCTCATCCTTATGTGGGAGAGAGGTAAGCAGGAACAGGGCTGGATTCAGAAGAGAAGACCTGGTTTCAAATCCCAGTTCTCCCATTAGATGCCCTTGGCAAATTAATTCATCTTGGGGCGGCTAGGTGGTGCAGTGGATAGAGCTCCGGCCTTGAAGTCAGGAAGACCTAAGTTCAAATCCAGCCTCAGACACTTGACACTTACTAGCTGTGTGACCCTGGGTAGGTCACTTAACCCCAATTGCCTCACCAAAATGCAAAAAAAAAAAAAATAATCATTCATTCATTCATTCATTCATTCATTCATCTTCCTGAGCCTGTTTTCTCATCTGTAAAATTAGAGGGTTCAACTAGCTGACCTCTAAAGTCCCTTCCAGCCTTACATCTTTGATCCTATGATTCTCCATGCAACGAGGACCAGAGTGGTCAGTGAAGACTATTCCTTGTTTTCCTGTCTGCCTCCCTCCTGTTTTCCTCCCCATACCCATACATACATCCAGGTGCCCAGCATGCTGTCAGCTCAGAAGATAGCTTTGCAAAGGTCAGGGAGTATTTTTAAACAGTGACAGGATTGCCTGCCCCTCCTCCTGCCTGAGTCACCACTAGGGACCCTATTTGAGAGTTGTTTTCTTTGAAACATGACCCCCGAGAGAGGCAAGGGAATGGAGAGACTGTCCCTGGCATCTGTCCAGGCATAGATACCACAGTAAATATATGTTTAGGGCATCGTGAGTAAATAGGATAGAGCTTAATTGTATGCATTCCTTACCTTGTCATGTTCTGTCCTAACCCCACAGCTAGGGTGAGGCCTGGAGAACTTGAGGGAAGAAAACTTATGCCTTTCTCACAGGAAATCCAATTCCCCCAACCCACTGCATCTGGCAAGTCTAATTAAGAGATTTTCATTAGCACTGGTCAGCACACAGGAAGCTGGACAGAGCTAGAATAATAGGTATGTATGCATGTATATGTGTGTATATGTGTACATGTGTATATACATATGTACATATATATGTACACGTGTATATACATATACACACATGTATATATGTACATGTGTATATGTGTGTGCATGTATATGTGCATACACATGTATATACATATACACACATACACATATATACATGTGTGTGTGTGTATATATATGTATGTGTATTTTGAGTTCAAATCTGGCCTCTAACACTAGCTCCATGACTCTGGGCAAGTCACTTAACCCATTTGTCTCAGTTTCCTCAACTGTAAAATGGGGATAATAGTTGCTCCTACCTCCCAGGGTCATTGTGAGAATCAAATGAGATAATTATTGTAAGGTGCTTAGCGCAGTGCCTGGCACATAGTAAGTGCCATGTAAATGTTAATTATTATTATTATTATTATGCAGTTATCCCTTTCACATCGAGGGAGTTAGGGTGTGGCATCCCATCTATCTAGAAAATCCTTGTAAAATTTTTTGGTCTTCCATTCATACCAGAGGAGAAGTCTGAATTATTAGTTCTTAAAAGATAAAACATGTTGATATTATATGATACTATACATATGTTTTACGCATTTCTGAGTTTCTATTTCTCTGTGTCACCTGCAGCTATCACAAAACTCCCCCAAAATTCCCATTTAATTTCTTTTGCCAGCCCTTGATATATTGAAACCTCTATGAAGAAAGTCAAGATATAGAGGGGATAATTGTATATAACTTTAAGGCTTATCCAATACTTTATATATATTATGCCACTTGATTCTCACAAGGGGAGGGAATAAACAGTTATATAGAGTTTACTGTATGGATAGAACACCAGGCCTAGAATCAGGAAGATCTATGTTCAAATCCCACCTCAGACACTTACTAACTGTGAACCTGGGCAAAGTCATTTAACCCTATTTGCCTCAGTTTCCACATCTGTAAAATGAGCTGGAGAAGAAAATGGCAAACCACTCCAGTATCTTTGCCAAGAAAACCCCAAACAGGGTCACAAAGAGTCAGACATGAATGAAACAACAGAACAACACAAATTATCATGTAAAGCTCTTGGCAACCTTCAAATTCAAGGGGGCCATTTACTGGAAACCCCTCTTTAAAGGATATTATTTTTTACTCCACAAAGAAACTAAAGAAATGAAACCTTTTAACTAAACTTAACTCTAATATAGATGCATGATACAGTGGGCCGTAGGTTCACACTGAAAGAACACATCATGGGCTTCAATTCCAAGCCCCAGTCACGCCTGGCCAATGTGACCTGTACAAACACCTAGGCATTAGCCTAGGCACTAACCTGCCTTTCCAGTTGGATCTCGTGTCCTCCTTCCTCCCAATACACCAAGCTGCACACAGCATTTCCTCATCTACAAAATTTGGAGGCTTGGATTAGATGATCTTGGACATCCCTTCCAGCTCCAAATTCTTTGATCCCCTGACTATCTGCTGTCTCCCAACTACACTCTGTGCTTTCCTGCCTCTCCCAGGGCCTCTGCTCAAACTGTTCTCTATGGCTGGAATGTCTTCATAGAATCACAGATCTGATACTGAAAGGGACCTCAGAGGTCAACCCCCTAATTCAATCAGTTCTTTTTATAGAAGAGAAAACTGAGCCCCATAGGGGTTGGGTGACTTGGTAGCCCCATGGCTACCAAGGACCTTCCCACCACTCCCCAGCCCCCCACATGTCCTCTTTTGTGCACCAATCATATGTTATTGTTAATTATAGTTATTTCTGTATATATCATATCCCCTTACAAAGTTGTAAGCTCTGAAAAAGCAAGGACTGTTTCTTCATCCCTCTGAGGCAACTAGATGGTGCAGGTGCTGAAGTTTGAGACTTAGAATGAAGAAACCCTGAGTTCAAATCCAGCCTCAGAAACTTAGCAGCTGTGTGACCATGGGCAAGTCACTTAACCTCCCCCAGCCTCAGTTTCCTTATCTGTAAAAAGGGATAAATAATAGCACCCCCTCTCACAGGGTTGTTGTAAAGATCAAATGAGATAATAGATAAGTACATGTGAAGAACTTTGGGAAACCTTAAGGGGCTACATAAATGTTAGCTATTATTATTTAAACTTTGTGTCTTTGCCAACATCTTGCACTGGGCCTTACACACAGTAGGGGCTTAATAGATATTTGTTCTCCTTGCTCTGTGGCAGGCCTTGGCAAGTAGCCAAGTCCTGGTGTGTGTTGTTTCCTTCTAGAGATGGAACAGGAAAATGGGAAGCCCCTTCAGGAGGGGACCACTCCCTCTATCCCAACCGAGACAGCAGATACTTCTGGGACTGTGGGGAATGGGTGTGCCAACGAGGAAGAGTTAGCCAAAGACATGGCCCAGAAGATGTCTGACAAGCAATCTGAAGAAGTGGGAGGGGCTGACAACGAAAATAGAGTAGAGGAGGCCCAGTCTGAGGCCAAGACAGAGAATGATGAGGAAGCCAAATCTGATCCCAAGAAGGAGGTTGATGAGAAAGAGGAGAGCAAACCTGTACCCCAAGGAGAGGCAGAGAGGGAAAAAGAGGCTGGGTCTGAATTGAAAAAAGAAGCTAAGGGGAAAGAGGAGGCCAAGTCTGAACCCAGAAAAAAGTCTGATGGGAAAGAGGAGGCCAAGTCTGAAGCCAAAGAAGAGGCTGAT